GAGTTGACCTAACGTCTTGCTAGAGACGTTAAACACTAGTATTCGTAGAGTTTCACAACTCTATTCCTCCCTCATTTCTTTTTATTTTTCATTCTTGTGTACATTCTTCCATCTATTTTTCAAATTTTCATTGTTGTTACCATCATTGGGGCTTAGCATAGGATTTTCTGCACTTTCAGTTCAAAATTAGGCATTTGGTGCCAGTTCGATCGATCACAAGAGCACCTTCGATCGATCGAATTGTTCTTCGATCGATCCAACTATGGATTCGATCGATCGAACTCCACTTGAGTCCCAACACTTAAAAAAAATTTTGAGCTTTCATCAATTTTGAAAGTGCATGCTCTCGCGATCTCCAAAATTTTACATGTTCGATCGATCGAATTTCATCTCGGATCGATCACAGCTATGTTCGATCGATCGAACTTCATCTTCGATCGATCACAACTTTGCCCCTTTGACCCTTTCACTTTTTGACTTTTTCCTATTTCTATTTTTATTTTATTTTATTTCATTTAGTTACCTCTTTGTCTTGACTGAAAAAAAAAAGAAGAAGTTTTTAGAAATTTGTTAAAAACACAAAAATATTTTTGTTTATTTTATTTTATTTTCAAAAATTCCAAAAAGATTTTTACTTTATTTTCATTTTTACTTTTATTTCCAAGCTTTATTTTTATTTTTATTTCAAATATTTAAAATTAAAAAAAAAAAAATCAAATCCCAAAAACATTTTTCTTTTATTTTATTTTATTTCCTTTTATCTTATTTCCAAAAATCCAAAAATATTTTGTTTAACTTTAAATTTTAATTCTTCTAACTTATCAAAAAAAAAAAAAAAAAATCTTTGCATTCCTTATTTTCTTACATTTTTATTTACTTGCCTTTTTATTTTTATTTGTGTACATATTTGTTTTGTCTAAAAAAATAAAAAAAAAAATAAAAATGAGACGATTTTTCAAAGAAGCATTCGGTCTTGCTAGCGACGTTAAACTTAGCACCCATTTTGCATATTTCTTACATTTTTCATTTTTCTTTGCATGTTTTCACATATATATTAAAAAAAAAAAAAAAAATTGAAAAACAAAAAGTAAGAAAATTTTGTATATACTTGCATTGTACATATTCTTTCCATTTGTTTTACATTGTACATATTCCTTTTTCATTTCTTGCATTGTACATATTCTTTCATTGCATTTTGCCTTATTTATTTTTCTTTTTGTATTTTGTTCATGTATTTTATTCTTTGTTTTTCTTACATTTTGTATATACTTGCTTTCATTAAATGAAAAATATAAAAAGATCACCATTGTGCCCTTATGTGTAGTCATGCATACTTTATGCTTTAGTTAGGACTTGATCTTATATCTCTCTTGCATCATGTGTTACATTGCCTTAGAATGCTTGATTTGATTATTCTTATCCCATTTGATATTTGATGTGAGTTTGCTAGCGTGGTTATTCAAGTAGGTTGTTGATTCCAAGTTTTGGGGAGACGTCTTTCGAATTGGATCATGACCGGGCTTCATGTCTACACTACCACGGTATACTCTTTCCATTTTTTTTCCATTGTTCTCATTGCACATTGAGGACAATGTGAGGTTTAAGTTTGGGGATAAACTGTCTTGTTGCATTCTACTTAAGATTTGAGCTTTAAATGCATGATTGAGATTTGAGATTGATGTTAGCTATGATTTTGATCTTTTGAGGACTATATTGCTTAAAATTTAAAAATTGCTTGACTTGAGAGTCCAATACTCCTTGTATGCCTTGAGGATGCCTTTTAGGAGTAAATTTTTCAAAAAATTGATATCTTGCTTGCATTTGTGGTCCATATCATCCTGAATTTGTGATTGTTTTGAGAGTCATTCTAGGATTCTACACTAGCACCGGTGCACACTAGCATTCATTTGTGGGTACTTGCTTTGTTGATTATTGAATTTGTTATATCCTAATTGGGCTAGTAGTGCATTGAAAGCTTTCATTCTTGATAAAGGTGGATAACAACCCCTTTTCATTGAGTAGTCAGGATTCTTGCCTCATTAAGCAGTGAACTTCTCGCGCCGAAAGGTGGAGGGCCCAAACTCTAGGTTAATAATTGAAAAAAAAAAAAAGAAGTTGCAAAAAGCAATAAAAGTGAGGACTTCTCCCAAAAGGCGAGAAGTGGGAAATGATTAGATGGTTGTTGTCTTGATTTGTAGCCTAATTGATTTGAGTTTGTAAGTCCGTTGGGGTGTCTTAACACCTAATGCCTTAAGGCCATCTGGTTTGGGAGTCATTGACCTAAAGCTCGCTACATGAATCTTCTAGAAAGCTTAAGAGATCAACACATTGCACAATATTTCCATCTTTGATCCTCAATAAATAAATAAAAAAGAAAAAAGAAGAAGAAAATGAGTGAAAAGAATAAGCGCACCTAGAACAATAAAGTTTTAATAAAATGTCCACTCTCTTATCTTGATGATCGGTACTAGATTTGTGTACTAGTTTGAGGGTAAGGATGTGATTACTTCTCTAGTTGGCTAAGATAGCAACACACTTGATGCCGAACCTCTCACATGGATTCTAGACTTGTTTCAATTTTCATGATCATTTTCTAGATATGTGGAGGACCATACTTGCTTGCTTGATATTGAAATTTTGGAAGATTGCTTAGAAACGGTTGAAAAATTGCATACTTGAAGTAGTTTTCTCCCAATGCTTGTTTGCAATATTGGTGCCTCTTTTGAAAGAATGAGCTTAATGTTTGTGGGTACCATTTCTGGAAACCCTCACGAGACTTTACTCGTCCACTAGGGGTAACCTAGGGGTTTAAAAGGCTTATTGCATATGCTAAATGCAATCGTGTTCCCTACGAAAATGGTGTTATCATTTTACTTGCTTTCCAGTTTATACTTGCATAGTTGTTTATTTCATTCCTTTACTTCTTAGTTCATAGCTAGGGACTAGCAATATTTAAGTTTGGGGGTGTGATGAGCACTGAAAAGTGCGCATTTAAACCCGTTAAGCTTAAGCATTCTAGTACCTTTATCTATCTTACTTTACCGTTTTAGACTTATTACGTGTTATTTATATTTTCAGGCACTAATCCCAAAATTTAGCTAACTCAGCCAAATAAGAGCTTAATTGAAGCAATCCTGAGATAAACCAACGGAGGGAGCAAAGTGGAGAAAGAAAGGAGTAAAAAGGAATCAAGTTTTGCAGCTGAAAAGTTCGATCGATCCAACTTAGAGTTCGATCGATCGAACATCTATGATCGATCACAGTACTTCTCGATAGATCCAACCTTGGCATTTGCTGAAATTCCAAGTTCGATCGATCGAACATCACCTTCGATCGATCAAACCCTATTTTGTCCTATTCAAATGATTGATCTTATCCACAACTGTACGCCTACCAACCACTTTTGTCTTTTTCCCCATAAATATCTTGAAAATATCCCAGCCTCGTCATTATCCGGAGGAGTCAGACCACTTCGATCGATCCAAGATGCAGTTCGATCGATCGAACCCATTTTCGATCGATCCAAGTTAAGGTTCGATCGATCGAACTTCCTCCAGCGAGAAAAAGTTAAAATCCAGCTCATTTATTCCGTCCTTCATCCAATCATTGGAGAATATGCCTTGCACGACCACAGCTCATCATGGGGTGTATTTGACCTACCTATATAAGGAATATGATACACTTTTTGAGTGAGTCTCTTGTCACACATTGAAAATCATCTTGGAGGCTATTCTTGGAGAGGAAGCTAGAGCAACCATTGGAGGAGATCTTCACCAACAAGGAGCAGCCATGGAGTTAGCCCTTGAGGGTTGGATCATCACTACCATGAGTGGCTAGACATCCTCTTGGGGCTAGAATTAGCCCCAAACATGCTTTCTATACTCTAATCTTGTGTATTATTGAGGGATTAGTGTTGTATGATACATCTTGATATTCATGTATATATAAATCTTGATTATTTCATGGTTTGTATGGTTTAATGCTTCCAATTGACTATTCTATTCTATCCATATGTCTATGTATGCTAGAGTAGGATATTCATGTGCTTATCCCTAGATTTAGTGTTTTTGATGCATGTTTGTGTGTATTGATGCTATAGATCTAGAGATTATCAAGATGATATGCTTAATGAATGCTATTTTGGTTCATTTGATAGTTTATGCCTATTCTTGATGGTTTGTGCCTCTCCCCTAGTCTAGATAGCTTTATTTTCATGCTAGTAGTGTAGATTTAGTGTAGTGGTAGTGTAATGTTAGATGAGAGGACAATCTACTCTTGATGTTTGATGTTTCATGCTTGTGAGTCCAAATGGCATATTCCTCTAATATTGTGTTGTATGTGGATTGTGAGCTTAATGAAGGATTAATGACTTGTTTTGATCTATTGTGCTATCCCCATGTTGTCTAGATAATATATGCTCTATTATTTAGATATATTGTGCTCTTCACATGATGTTTAGACAATACTTGCTTGATTTGTCATCCTTGCCAATTGAATCAACCTAATGCACACACACCCTTATCATATTGCAACACATCCATTACCCTCAATTGATCACTTGTTAGTAGTATAGAAAAGTATTGCTTGGTGGTGATCTCTACACCCCAAGACCTTTCTCTCTCTTGTTTACTTCATATTATTTTATTTAGTTGAATTTAATTTAGCTTAATCAACCAACCAATCAATTGTGTGATCACTCGACCTACTAACCCTAATTACCATAGTTTCACAATTCGATACACCATCAAATCCCTTGAAACGATCCCTACTCACCCTATCTATATTTTATATAGAGAAAGGTAGTAGTGGCTTTCTATAAATGTAAAACTTGGCCACCTCCTAAATTCACAACTCTTCAAGCTTGACTTGGTATCGCGACCCTTGTAAAGGACCGGTCAGTAAGCCCACAGTACACTCGGCAGCTGCTCAGGCCACAGTCCCTTTGCAGCATCAAGTCGAGTCTTGATCATCTGAAGGATTGTTTTATTAGTGACTTCGGCCTATCCATTCGCCTGGGGATGTCCTGGCGATGAGAAATGAATTTGAATCCCGAGCTCGGAACAAAATTTTTTGAAGTCAGAGTTATCGAACTGTTTTGCATTATCTGTGACAATCACTCTAGGAATCCCAAATCTGCAAACTATTGATTTCCATACGAACTTCCTTATATTGTTCTCTGTGATCTTGGCCAGAGGCTTAGCTTCTACCCATTTAGTGAAGTAATCAACCATAACAACGGCATACTTAGTCTGCCCTTTGCCTTTGACGAGAGGGCCAATGAAGTCCATTCCCCATTGAGCAAATGGCCATGGTCCTGACATGGGAGTCATCTCCTCTGACGGTTGTCTCGGGATGTTGGCAAATCGTTGACACTTGTCGCACTTTTTAACGAAGTCAAGTGCATCTTTCTGCATGGTGGGCCAATAGTATCCTTGTCGGATGGCCTTGTTTGCAAGTGACCTACCCCCAGCATGGTTTCCACAAACTCCTAGGTGGATCTCCCTCAAAATGTAGTCAGCTTCCTCGCTAGAAACGCATCGTAAATACGGCATGGAGAAGCTTCTCTTGTAGAGCACCCCTTTGATAAGCGTATACCTAGCTGCCCGCATCTTGACCTTTCGAGCTTCTGCTCGGTCTGTTGGTAGCACCCCATCCTTGATATATCTGATGATAAGATCTGCCCATTCCACACTCAATATCGCTTGTTGCACTTCAATTTGTCTCTCCTGAGATATAGATGGTTCATCCAAATATTCCAGTGGTATATTTTTATTGATCTCAGGTTCTAATGCAGTAGTTAGCCGAGCTAAAGCGTTTGCTTTCCCATTCTCTTCTCGTGGTATTTGATGAATTGAGAATCTTTGGAAGTGATTCTTTAATTCCTTCACCTTTTGTAGATAACTCTTCATCTTCTCGTCTTGTGCCTCATATTCCGCTTGAACTTGTCCAGCGACCAGCTGAGAGTCGGTGTACACCTTTAATTGCTCATCCCCTAGGGCATTTGCCACTTTTAATCCTGCTATCAAGGCTTCGTACTCTGCTTCATTGTTGGTTGCTTTGAAACCAAACCGAAGTGCGTACTGTATATTTTCTCCCTCTGGGGAGACAAGAACAAGCCCGGCTCTACTAGCCTGAGCAGTAGATGACCCATCCACGAACAAGTCCCAGACTACTTCTGGGCCCATCTGCTCACTTAAACTTAGTTCTGTCAAAAATTGGGGTTGTTTTTCCTCTTCTGGAGGGGTAAACTCAGCTAAGAAGTCAGCCAACACCTGAGCCTTTACTGCTGTTCTTGGCTTATACTGAATGTCGAACTCCCCTAACTCTACTGACCACTTCATCAGTCGACCAGAGCTTTCTGGCTTATGTAGGACCTGTCGAAGGGGTTGATCTGTTAGGACCACTATCGTATGCGCTTGAAAGTATGGTCTCAGTTTCCTGGCGGACACAATTAAAGCAAAGGCCAACTGTTCCATCCTTAGATATCTTTCCTTCGTACCCCTAAGTGCTTTGCTCACGAAGTATACTGGCCTTTGGACCCCTTCTTCTTCTCGTATCAGAGCTGAACTGACAGCTGTCGTGGAAACTGCAAGGTATATGTATAGTTCCTCTCCCGGTATGGTTCGAGACAGTAGTGGGGGAGAACTAAGGTATTGTTTTAGTTCTTTGAATGCCTGCTCACATTCTGGGGTCCATTCAAAAGCCTTCCTTAGCACACGAAAGAAAGGTAGACACTTGTCAGTTGATCGAGAGATTAGCCTACTCAAGGCAGCAATCTTCCCTGTTAGTCGTTGTAGATCCTTGGTTGATCTTGGCGATCTCATGTCAATGACTGCTCGGATTTTCTTTGGATTGGCCTCAATTCCTCTTCTACTTACCATATATCCCAAGAACTTTCCTGAGGAAACCCCAAAGGCACACTTGCTGGGGTTGAGTTTCATCTTATGACTCCTAAGTACCTCAAAGGTCTCCTGCAGGTCAGTCAAATGGTCTTCAGCTTTTAAGCTTTTCACCAACATGTCATTAACATATACCTCCATGTTTCTACCAATTTGATGCTTAAACATTGCATTCACTAGCCTCTGGTATGTTGCACCAGCGTTCTTGAGCCCAAACGGCATTACTTTGTAACAGTACAAACCTCTATCAGTGATGAAGGCCGTTTTTTCTCTATCTGAGGTGTACATAGATATCTGGTTGTATCCAGAATATGCATCCATGAAACTTAATAGTTCGTGTCCAGCCGTTCCCTCAATGAGCATATCAATTCTTGGGAGAGGAAAGCTGTCCTTCGGGCAAGCTTTGTTAAGGTCGATGAAATCCACACATAGCCTCCATTTTCCATTTGCCTTCTTCACTAGGACCACATTTGCCAGCCAGTCGGGTAGTACACCTTTTGAATAAAGTCAGCTTTTAAGAGCTTTTCCACCTCTTCTGATATAGCCTGATTCCTTTCTGGAGCAAAAGTCCTCCTCTTTTGTCTGACAGGTTTGAAGTCAGGATTTACATTTAGGCGGTGCTCCATGATAGTGGGGTCTATACCCGGCATGTCTTCATGTACCCATGCAAATACGTCTTGATTCTTCCTGAGGAATTGAGTAAGTTCATCTTTGATACCTGGGGGGAGTAAAGAACCTATACTGACTTTTTTCTTAGGCTCACCAAGGATGACCTCTTCTAGCTCCTCTGTAGGTTCCGCTCTATGAAAGTCTGGTCTATCTTTCCCTTCCAGCCCTTCAATCGTAAATGCCTCTTGCGATTTTATTTTTCTGAGAGAGGCGACATAACATTTGCGAGCCATTGTTTGGTCCCCTCTTATCTCTCCCATACCATATTCAGTTGGGAAACGCATCAGGAGATGGTAAGTGGGCGTGATTGCTTTCATAGCATTCAATGTCGTTCTCCCCATGATAATATTATATGATGATGGGCAGTCCACCACTACAAAGTCCACCATTACAGTGACCTGCTTTGGATTGGCTCCTGCAGTAACTGGAAGGGTAACTGCCCCCAGTGGATATACTTTGTCGCCTGAAAATCCCACCAGTGGTGACTTCATGGGTCGGAGCTTCTCTCGGCCAATTTTTAATTTCTCGTACGCCCTAAGAAATAGTATGTCAGCCGAGCTACCATTGTCTATTAGTATTCGTCGAACAGTGAAATTAGCAACGACCATGGAAACTACCAGAGGGTCATCATGGGGTTGGTGAATTCCCTTGTCATCTTCTTCAGAAAAGGTTATGACCGGCTCCTCAACTCGAGGTAATTTGGTTGGAGGACTTGTCATTCCAACTTCATTCACCTCTAAAAAACTCCGAATTCTCCTAGCATGAGCCTTCCGAGCTGAACTCGTCTCACCACCACCAGCGAAGCCACCCGATATAACTTTGATCTCACCCATTGGTTGGTGTTAAGGAGGGCGATCATCTCGGCCCTCCCGGGCTGGGTTGGAGCCTCCTTTTCCATTTCTAGTTGTGAATTTGCGTAAATGACTTTTACGAACAAGGTTCTCAATTTGGTTTTTGAGGTCGAAACAATCCTCTGTGTTATGTCCATGGTCCCGGTGAAACCTACAGTATTTATCTCGAGACCTCTTCGTTGGATCAGCTTTTAGCTTTGGTGGCCATTTTAATGATGTGTCATCTTGAATCTGCAGAAAGACTTGCTCTACAGATGTATTTAGGGGGGTATAGTTATTATACCTGCCTGGGCTCGCTGGGCGGCGAAACGATCTGTCAGCCTGGTTGTTTGAGAATTTCTTATACTTCAATTCCCTTTCCTCCCTAGTGCTAGGTGCTGGCCTCTTCTAATCCAACTTCTTATCTTCACCATCTTTGTTTTTTCGTGCATTCATAGCATCGTCAGCGTTCATGTGCTTCCGCGCTCTAACCATCAACTCTGTCATGCTTGTAGGGGCTTCCTTTGATAAGGAAAATAGGAACTTAGAAGTCTGTAGTCCTCCCATAAAGGCTGTGAGGGCAACCTTGTCGTCTACCTCTTCAACTTGCAGCATTTCAGTGTTAAAACGCCTTATGCAATCACGAAGGGACTCTCCCTTCTGCTGCTTCACATTAAGTAAATGTGTTGCTGGTCTCCTGTGCTTCTACCCAACGATGAAGTGTCCTATGAATTGTTTGCTTAACTCTTCAAAGTTTTCAATGGAGCCTGGCTTTAATTTATTGCACCAGAGACGAGCCCAACCCTTGAGTGTGGTAGGGAAAGCCCTGCACATAATCTCGTCCGGTACGGCTTGCAAATACATAAGAGCTTTGTAGGTCTCCAAATGGTCGAGAGGGTCCCGCGTCCCATCGAATCTCTCAAGAGTTGGCATCTTGAATTTGCTAGGTAGAGGACAACTCATAACAGCTGGGCTAAAAGCTTGGTTAGTCTTTTGTACCATATCGTTCACTGCAGCCTGGCCCTTCCCTTTCATCGCTTGCATGACATCGTCAACGTTGGCTTTCAGATCCTGCAACTCTAGATCGAACTGAGTGGCGTCCTCAGTCTTGTCTCCAACATAACTAGAAGTATCTCCACGGAGCCTGGTGGTATTCCGTTCAGGGGACCGATGGTGATGGCTCCTCTGTTGACCCCCTATTTGACTAAGCTCAACATCGTTGTAAACCCTACGGGAGTCATCGTTGGGTACTTCACTGTTTCTCTCCTCGTTGGGGCGGCTAAGCATTGCAGAATCATCGCATTTTGCTGGACTAAGTGGTTCAACAGTTGTTCCAACGCTGCGACGCGTTCCTGATCATTTGGGACGACGGGGGGTTACCCCGTTGAAGTCCCTGCATCAGAAGCCTGCAACCCTTCGCCCTCGCTAGCAACCAGACCAGATATCAATAGAACCATGCTTTGTTTAGAGAACAAAAATAAGTTCCCACAGACGGCGCCAACTGTTGAAAATGGATTCTGCGCAACCCGGATCTGATCTGACTTCCTGAATAAAGAGAAGAAAAAGTGATCCTACAAACACCGGTGCGTTACCGGTGGAGTAGGCTTCGACGAACAAGTCAGTGTGAATGATAATCTCTCTGGAGAAATCGAGATATTGAGTTAGGGTTTTTTGCCTACCTCCAAACGTCGATTAGCCCTCCCTATTTATAGGACTTGGGTCAGGATGTTACGTAGCGTCCACGTCGTCCTTAATCCTTATCATAATATATTAGCCTAATCCTTATCGTATTCTGCAATTCTTATCGTAATCTGTAACCCTTATCTTAGTCGTAGTCCTTATCTTAGTCTGTAGAGCCTATCTCAATCTTATGAGATAGCGCGTTACTTTAACGATCTTCCCCTATCCACGGGTAATTAAATTATAATCATCATACATGATCAACCAAAAGAAAATGTAAGTACGCACATTCATGCACACACACACACACACACATACACACACACATATATATATCATATATTGTGTTTGCACTGAATATATCCAAGTAAATTCAATGGATTTCCACCATAATTACAAGCTCCACTTGATCCCAAAGAAAACACAAAACCCAAGACTTAAGGATATGGTTATTGTGATTCAATGTTCGTTTATTTATTTTGTAAAATATAAACCAGTTGTTTTATAACAATTAAAATAACTGTATATGTTTTTGTATGAAAAATACTTGGGTCCTGAAAGGTTATGCGGCCTAATGAAAACATAACATGTGTTCTGAAAAATTGAATAAAAAGTTAGGGAAAAGTTATATGTACCCATTTGAAATGGATTCTCAGCTTTGCTTGGAGCACTGATATAAGAACCCATGAAGAACTCAAACTTCACTCACTTCTTTGTTTCTTCCTTCACCAGACCTCTCTACCCTACCTGATCACCAAAAATTAGGGTTTATCAGCTGCACATAACAAGAAAAAGAACCAACCATAACAGATTTGGGTGTCAAAAAGATTTTAGATTCCAAAAATGATCATTTATAAAAGCAACAAGTGGAAAAGAACCAACCAGACCTTGGAAAACAAAACAATTACAAATCAAGAATCCAAATGTGGTCATCTTAAATTATATACAAATATATATATATATATATAAAAGGGCTAAATGCAAAAAAAAACCCCTGAACTATTGGCATTTTAGCAACTAACCCTTCTCAACTACAAAAGTTGCAACAAATTAACCCCCTGGACTATTCAATTTTGTTGCAGATGACTCCATCCGGCAGGTTTTGATGTCATGTGCCATCATATGATACGGATGTCTAAAATATAGGACCAGAATGCCCTCATTCACATAAAAGGACAAAAATGCCCTTGTTACCTTCATAACCAAACACACCCTTCTTGTCCATCAAACCCATCCCTTGTAATAACAATGATCAAACTCGCCTACTATTCCAAGCTCGCCGATTCAGTTACAAGCTCGCCGACTGTTCCTCTCACCGCCGAGCTCCCTTGCGAGATTAAAGGAATTTAGTGCGTTTTAGAATTTTTATTTATTTATTTATTTTTATAGAAGTTTTAGGTGAAGTAGAATCTTGTAACCAAAAAAAAAAAACAGAAGACCTACCACCACCCATGCCGCTACCACCAACACACCCATGCCATCGCCACTACAGATGCCAACTCAGGAACGAAATAAGTCACTACAGTGGATGCCTCCAGTAAGCAGGTTCAGTAGATCCAAATGAAAGGTGATTTTGAACCAAAAAAAGGGTCCCCACTAAATCCAAACCCCAAATTGAAAGCCAAGAATGCACAACACGACCATCGGTCTTAATTTGCAGGTGGTTACCAAATCGTCATTAATAAATCGATCTACGGTAGTAGCGACGATGACATAATTTCATGCCCTTCAACATACGCCGGTTATTGCAAATCGCGTGCTCTTCACACCCCTCACGACGCGGCAGTCGTCTTCTTCCTCAGAGATTATGATGGTGGCTAAGTTGGTGTCGATGCCGCAAACACCATTGGGCTTCGATATGACGGTGGATAGACCACCGTCAAGCCACCGTTACAAAGAGAAAGTGACTAGGCGGAGCAATTATGGCCGTCAGAGTAGGCGTGGCTGAGGCGACCCCTCCATTGTGGCTGAGTCCTCGACATTATCCAAAGCCTCGCGTCGCAAACTCACAACCAAGCTTCTTCCATCGCCAGTCAGACCATCACGGCCGAGCCCTCACTGGACGACCTCTTCACAGCCGACCCCTCTTACTCGATTTTGGATCTGTATTTTGTTTTTTGTTTTGTTTTTTTTTTCATCATT